CCGGTCGAAGATCGACCAGCTGACTTATGTGGGAGAACTTGGGTACTGGAGAAAGGCCGCCTGCCCTCGACCTACATCCTCATGCTCTCGGTGAATGGACCCATGGGTGGCATTTCCACGCGTCAGACTCTATCGAAGCATCCGCACATGCCGCAATATTAAGCACGCTGTGCGGGAGATGGGGCCAGGAGAAACGCAACGGCAACGGGGAAGAACCACAACATTGGATAGACTATGTCTTGTGTATCCACCACCAGATTGGTATTCCTGTGAAATATGACGGCCGGGACCCGCATGACCATGCGGAAGAACCCCACATAAGAATATTCTAAGCGGTTCTGAAAAAAAAAAAAAAAAAAAAAAAAAAAAAAAAAAAAAAAAAAAAAAAAAAAAAATCACCGTCGTCTTTGTGGTTGGTGTCCCATCCTCACCCCTCTGTTTGTTCCGCGGCCCGCCACCTCTTCCTAGTGCATGAGCGCGCATGTCGATGTTCCTCGGTGCCTTCGTCGCCGCCACGGCCACCACAGGCGCGTTCTCTACTGCTAACGTCGCGCAACCGTTGGGACAACCCCGCAGGTCAGGCTGTCGGGACAACGCCGCGAGCCGTTGGCACGCAAGACCAAACCGTTGGGACAACCCCGCGAGCTTCGAGCGAGGCGCAGCCGCGCTCAGGCGGAAGGCAACACGAAACTCAGCTCTGCCGCGAGTTACAACCGGCTGAGATTTTCCTCCATATTCAAGCTTGAGGAGCCCAAAAGTGACGACAATTACAAGGTTCCGATGACCCGCTCGGATTATCAACATGATCTGCGGGCACCATAGAGAGGGAGCTCCCGCATGAGACTTCTTCCCACTTCACATAGAGACAAGGCTCCCACCTGAGACTTCCTTCAAATTCAGGTTTGACGAGCTCACAAAAACGACAACTACAAGGTTACGATGACCCGATCGGATTGCCAACATGACTTGCTTGCCCCATAGGGAGGGAACTCTCGCCTGAGACTTCCTCCGAATCCTCTACAGACGAGGCTCCCGCCTGTGACCTCCTCTAAATTAATGCTTGACGAGCCCAATTCCGATGACCAGCTCGGATTACCAACGTGATCTGCGGGCTCCATAGAGAGGGAACTCCCGCCTGAGACTTCCTCCCACTTCATTCACAGACGAGGCTCCCGCCTGAGACTTTCTCTATTTTCAGGCCTGGGTGTTCACGATAGTTACAAGATTCCGATGACCCGCTCGGATTACCAACGTGATCTGTGAGCCCCATAGGGGGGATGCTCCCGCCTGAGATTTCCTCACAATTTACTAACAAACGAGGCTCCCGCCTGAGACTTCTCCAAATTCACGCTTGAGGAGCCCAATAGTGACGACAATTGGTGGTGGTTGTGATGATGATGTTTGAATGAGGATGATGCCGATGCCGATGATGATGATGATGATGATGATGATGATGATGATGATGATGATGTTCATGAGCGTGTGAGAGAGAGAGTGCGAGTGATGATGATGATGAGTATTACCGATCCCAGCAGGCGACG